CCAGGGCCAAGGACCAGAGCTGACACAGCTTCTGCCCCTCTGAGGCAGTTGCAGCTGGAGGACAAGAGGAGCCTTCCAAGAGATGGAGGGACCGAAGCCAGGTTGGCCATGATAACCCCAGGGAAGGTCCCAGCTGCAAAACAGGGCCGACAGGTGACTCAGAGGCTGTGACATCTAAGCTTGAAAAAAAACACAAGGTATCAAAGAGGACTGGGGACTGAGAACAGAGGAGGGACAGAGGGACAGCGGGAAGCTGGAGGCAAGAGGCAGGGTGGTTCCCTGGAGATCTGGGAGGGACTCAGAGAGTGGAAGTGAAAGTGTGAAAAAAACACACAAGGTGAGGGCAGGCAGATGGAGACCAGGGAGGGTGCAGCCCTTGTCCCCATGGGCCAATGAGCAGGAGGAGCACAGGCCAGGTTTCCAGCTGAGAGATCTAGGAAGCAAGAGAGCTGGGAGATGTGGGGGCGGGGTGGGGAGCTGGGAGGGGGAGCTGTGGGGGGGACGTGGGATGGGGGAGGGTTTTGAGATCTTCTGCTTTTCTTTTTTTTTTTTTTTTTGGTTTTTCGAGACAGGGTTTCTCTGTGCAGCTTTGCGCCTTTCCTGGAACTCGCTTTGGAGACCAGGCTGGCCTCGAACTCACAGAGATCCACCTGGCTCTGCCTCCCGAGTGCTGGGATTAAAGGCGTGCGCCACCACCGCCCGGCGAGATCTTCTGCTTTTCATTGACTTTGATTCAGCAACTACAGCTACAGGTTGGGGCTTGGAGTGGGGTGCTGGGTCAAGACTTACCACCGTGGGGGTCTCAGATAGTAAGAGCGGATGAGATCCAGGTGTGGAGGCACATGACTATAATTCTATCACTTGGGAGGGAGCCTGAGGTAAAGAGGATTGTGGGTTCAAGGACAACATGGGCAACATAGGGAGACTCTGCCTCAAAACTGAGCCAGCCGAGGGGTCAGCAAGATGGGTCAGCAGGTGAAGGCGCTTGCTTCTAAGCCTGATGGCCCAGGTTAGATCACCAGGACTCACGTGGCATATGTATACACACATGCACAATACATACATACATAATACATACATGGGAAATGAGCCAGTGGGACAACTTTTACCTAGTTGTCAAGGAGACACAATGGTTGGTTATGGCAAGCCTTTAATCCCAGCACTTAAGAGGCATAGGCAGGCAGATTTCTGTGAGTTCTAGGCCAGCCTGGTCTACATAGTGAGTTCCAGACATCCAGGGCTATGTAGAGAGACCCCATCTCAAAAACAAAACAAAACACAAAAGGAAACACAGTGGAGATAGGTTTTCCTTTGTGGTATTTGTTTCTGTCATGCTAGAGACAGAACTCTGGGTCACAAGCATGCTAGACATCACTCTACAATCTACCTAGAGAGCACACACACACACACACACACACACACACACACACACACACACACTGCCTTTGTTGTTGTTGTTTTTGTTGAGACAAGATCTTGCTGATTAGCACCAGCTAGCTTCAAACACACCATCTTCCTTCCTCCACCTCATGTCCAGGCAAGCCTCGCCATGTCCAGTGGTTTTGTATCTTTATTTCTGCCTGAGCACACAATCAATCGTATTTTTTTTGTTGCATGCATGTGGTCAGGTTTTTGTTACTGTGACAAATGCCTGAGAGAAACAGTTTAAAGAAGGGTTTATCTGTTCACACACCGAAGGGTTTCAGCCCATGACCACTTGACTCCTTTGCTGCTGGGCTGTGGGGAGGCGGCACATCACAGTGGGTACATGTGATAGAGACAGGCAGCTTACCTCATCACAGACAGGAAGCAGAGAGACAGGAAGGGGCTAGGGCCGGACATAGCCCCAAGATGAGAAGATGACACATTCAATGACCTACTTCCTTGGGCTAGGTCCACCTCCTAATGCTTGCATCACCTTCCAGAAAGTCAGCACACGCTGAGGACCCGCTCTTAAAGCAGAGCTGGTGGTGACACTTCCTATCGAAGCTGTGACAGTAAAACACAGAGATTGTCACAAAGATAACAAATCAAGTCATCAGTAAGCCACAAGGACCTCTGCCTCTAGTAGGGTAAGACCAGGCGCGTTAGTTACGTGGATTACCCAGAGCAGGAGTATGTATTTCTGCAACCTGGATGCCACCATTCTATCTACCAGGCCATTCTCTAGGCATAACTCTCCACCTATTTTATCAATCAGCCACTGGCAGAAGGATAGACACAGGCATGTAAACTTCACATACCATGTCCCTGAGGAACTTACTGTGGAGGAAAGGACCTGTCTAGGAGTCAGGATAGCCCTCAGGGTGGCTCCTGTCATATAAGAGAGTGCTCACATCTGCTCCACCTTGGCCATCTTAGTGTTTTCAACTGAAAACTGGGTGACACCTCTGTGTCACAGGACTTTTAGAAAGGACCACATATAAAGAGCCAGGTGATGCCGGGCGGTGGTGGCACATGCCTTTAATCCCAGCACTCGGGAGGCAGAGCCAGGCGGATCTCTGTGAGTTCGAGGCCAGCCTGGGCTACCAAGTGAGTTCCAGGACAGGCGCAAAGCTACACAGAGAAACCCTGTCTCGAAAAAACCAAAAAAAAAAAAAAGAGCCAGGTGATAATACATGCTCAATAAATATCAGTTCCCTTTCCACGTGCACATGAAAATTTCAGAAATGCAGTCACACAGGTAAACAGGTATGACTATACAATAACATACAACAGACTATTTGGGGATACGTGTCCTAATGAACATTTCTTTTGAGGAGGGTGTTTGAGACAGGGTTTCTCTGTGTAACAGCCTTGGCTGTCCTGGCACTCACTCTGTAGACCAGGGTGGCTTCGAACTCACAGAGATCCACCTGCATCTGCCTACTGAGTGCTGGGATTAAAGGCGTGCACCACCACTGCCCAGCTCCTAATGAACATTTCTATAGGGACTCTCCACCTCTAGTGAAAAAGAGTGGGAGTGGGTGGATAAAGTCCCCACCTGCCCAGATTTTTCCAGCTGAGCATAGAATTTGGCTAGTAAGATTCAAGGACAGTCAGCCCCCTATTGCGGAATATTTGTGTATGCTGTAAAGATGTGTCTCTGCCGAAGGTACCTTGTGATTGGTGTAATAAAGAGCTGAATGACCAATAGCTAGGCAGGAGAGAATAGGTGGGACTTCCGGGCAGAGAGGACTCTGGGAAGAAGAAAGGAAATGCCAGGGAGATTCTGAAGAGGTCAGACATATGGTACAGAGGAGAGGTAATGAAGTCACGTGGCAGAATGTAGATTAATAAAAGCTGGTTAATTTAAGTTCTAAGAGCTAGTGGGACAAGTCTAAGCTAATGGCCAAGTTTTCATATTAATAAAAATTCTCCATGTCATTATTTGGGAGTTGGCGGTACAAAGAAAGACTCGCTACAGTTCTCCCACCACCAACACACACATGGAAGGAACTCAGCCTGTGGGCCCACAGCCTCTCCTTCTCAAAGGGGCCATCCTGGCTTTACATCAAGAGCGTTGCAGAGCCCATTAGAGTCAGGAGCCAGACAAGAAAGGAGGGGGCCTTGGGGTCAAGCCAGTGTGGACTCAAGGCTATACCTTAGGCAGTAGGAGGAAACGCTACTGGAAGAGGCTGGAAGAATGAGAGGTGGTCAGCTGTCAGAGTTACCCTTGTTTGGGGTAACTCACTAGGGCCCCAAAAGGGACATTGCCCATTAATGCTCAGAGCCCCCTTGCTCTTTAGCTCCCCTACATCAGACCCCTCACTACCTGTGCCTGCAGTCATTCTCTTACTCACACACCCTTCTCCTTCCCTCCTCCCCTGGCCCTGTTCGGCCAGCTTTCCACCTTTCCTCCATCATCATCTTCTTCTTCTCGAGACAGGGTCTCTTCTGTGTAGCTCAGTCTGCTCTGAAACTTACCAGTTAGACCAGGCCAGCCTCGAGCTCTCCCTCTTCCTACCTCAGCCTCCCCAGAGCTGGAAGTACAGGTGTGCACCATTGCACCTGTCTTTCCTTGTCTCCATGCTTACATGCTGGTCCTTCTGTCTGTCCTGGCCATGCCAAGCTCATGCCGTAAGCAGCACACTTTCTTTCTTTCTTGTCCTTTTTTTCTTTTTCTTTAGTCTTCTTTCATACAATAAGCATGCTGTTTCTAATGGCCCCTCTGGCCTCACACACACCAACTCCATAGCACAAGACATGTTAGTTTAGCCTGTTTAATATTGGGTTTCCAGAATGCTTCCTGGAGTCTGGGGAGATGGCTCAGCTGTTAAACGCTAGGCTCAAAACCAAAAAGACAGAGGAGGGGGCCGGATGGAGGCCTGGCTTCCTAGCAGAAATCTCTACCTTTGTTAGTCCTAGTGGGGGACTCAGGTCTGATCTGAGGCAGAGGAGGGATTTTTGCCTTGAGGCTTGAGGTAGAGAAAGCTGAATCTGGGTCAGTGGAAAAGGAAAACTGATAAACATATTCATGCTCAGCCGCGCCCCCCTCCCCAAGTAATTTGTATCTTCTACTGGAGCCAGAGAGTGACCTGAGTTTAGGTTCAGTAGCAGAGTTGGTCTATTTCGTTCTGCAGATCTGAGGAGCCTTGAGACACACTGAATGCTGACGGAGAGTAATACCAAGATGTTTTCTCCAGGCTTGAGGCAGGAAGGTAACTTTGCTAGGGTTAGAAGTCAGGTTAGCCGCTGCTTAGTCCCAGCAGCAGGCCACGATGTGTCCTTGTTATTCCTGCTGCAGCTGCCCAGGGCTGTGTAGTCACACTGGTGTGAACACAGTAAACGCTCCAAGAAGAACGGAAGCCGTCTTCTGAGAATATTGACATTGTCACTGTTCCAGCTGGGGAAACTTGACCCCAAGTTAGGCCAACTTCTGCATTTCTTTTCTTGAGGTCTCCCATTCCAGGCCTGTTTTTCCTTTGACACCCCCTCTTCCTTCTCCCAGAAGTCTCCCTGACTCCTACATAGAACACACAGCTTGCATGTTGTGGTAGTCACCTGCAAAGGCCGAGGGACCTCATCAAAGGTTTTATTCAAATGTCAAGATGGATAACACTACTCATGAACCAAGAGAGCATGAAAGGTTTTATTGTTTGCAGAAAGGGAGTCTCTCAGGACAACAGGTCTCAAATGGCTTGAGAGCCAGGAAGGAGGATTTTCACTGTGGTTGGGGGTGAGGGAGGGCCTCTGGGACACTCCTTCCCTCAGACAATGAAGGGAGGCCCTGTCTGTTCTGGCAGGCTTGTCCAGGTGTGAGCCATTAGGGAAGAGAACTGGGAGAGGCCTAAAGACTGTCCAAAGATGTATCAAAAGCTGAGCTGAGGCCCGTCATTTCACATGCATCCTATGTTTCTAGGCGGGTCCATTCCCCGTGAGGTAAGAGCAGACAGTGTAAAGTCAACTGGAGGCTTGAGATGATGCTGTCAAGATAAAGTCCTTTGGAACAAAGAGTTTCAGCCCTGCGGCATGGAACTGGGAGTTCTCTCTCCAGATCTCCAGCCCAGGCTCAGACAGTCCAAGGCTCCCTCCATTCCAGTCCACCCCCCATAGGTCTGTTCAACACTTCCCACATTCCTCAGTTGGGTCTGTCTTCTACCAGTCTCCCAGCTCCTGCTCCCACGTTCTTTCTGAACACTCCTTTAGACTGGAAATGCCATCCCTCATCCCTTTCCTGCTCCTGGTCCTCAGATCGGACCTGCTGGTCCTTCCTGTTTGGGATAGTTTATGAGATAAGGCCTGGCATGGAGCCCATCTGTCATCATCACATGACTCAAAGCTATTTTGGGCAGGACCCCTGTCTACTCCAAGTGTCCATCCCGCCCTCCTGGCCCTGGCCATGGGCATTCCTCCAGAAATAAGGCCAAGAACCAAGGGAGCTATCCAGAAGGGCAAATTCAATGGCCCAACTTGCATCTAGCTTAGCTTCCTACTCCTTGACTCCAGATGTCTCTTAAACCTTTGGTAGCTTTAGGGCAGGAATCAAAGCATGAAAGAGGCTGAGCAGTTCTGGAAGTCACAGCTCAGATTAATACCATTCTAAGGGCAGCCAGGGACAAATGTCCTCTCCTAAATGCCACAGAGACACTGTTATCACAGCTGCTCTTGTTTAGGTATGTCTGACTGTCTGAACAACATCTGCCTGGAGTTTCTCTTAAAGACACAGCCGTGGTCAAGTGGCTTCCAGTTCCAGCTGTGCCTTACTCTCTTGCCATCATTTGTATGGCTTTGGGCATCCAAATACACTCCTGAGGCTTTGTTCCCTCATGAGGCAAACAAGGACGACAATCCTGACTTTCACAGGGAGCCTGGAAAGATGAAGTGAGTCTGCCCTTGAAATGATTTGTAAAGCTTCCCAGGCTCTGATTCTAAAGTGGTGCTCCTAACTGTACCTGGTTGAGGATGCTTGCTGCTCAAAAGCCAATCTTCAGAGGCTAGCCTGGGCTACATGGTAGATGTCATACCAGACTGGCAAGATGCCTTAGTATGTAAAAGCACTTGCCATGTGAGCCTGATGACCTGAGTTCAACCTCCGAACTCACGTAAAAGTGGAAGGATCGAGAAGCAGTGATCCCAAGAGGTTGTCTCTCTTTTTTTTTTTTTTTTTTTTTGGTGTGTTTGTTTTGTTTCTTCTCCTCTGTCCAGAACACCGCAATTCACTTTATCTCCTGGGACTAGTTCCTGTATGTTCCTAAAACAGACGGGCTGCTTATCAGGAGCTAAACAGCACAGTGGTGAGTATGAATTAGTTTGTAGGGGAAGACAAGGAAGCAATGTTACAAAGGTCATCGGATCTTCTGGTATCTGCAAAGCTACAGGAAGATTGATTGTTTAGCAGTTACCATTTTAACCATTTAGGTGGGGCTTCTGATTAGAATTCACTGTGCCAGGCAGAAGCTAGGGAAGTAGTTTTGGCCAAGGACACTCCCCAAGGAGAGGCCCTGTCACTCCAAATGTCACCAAAATCTGATTTGCCCTTAAGTGTTAATCATTAGCATAATTGTTAAGAAGGGTTCTGGGGTTAGATCCTGTGCTATTAGAATCCTAACTGTGTGGCCTCAGCCAAATGACTCGACTCCCCTGGGCCTTGGTGTGCCCATCTTAAAGCAGAGGGCACCTTGATGGCTGCTGTGAGGACGTAATGACTGCAGAACGTGTCTTCCAGCAGCTCACCTCCACTCTCACTTCTTAACTCCAGACTCATCTGGGCTGCTCCTGAACCAAGGCAGCCGCTCAGGGCTGCAAAGCATTCAGACTTGCTTTCTGAAAGAAGAGCTGCTCCCTCCATGGCTGTGTTTACAAAGGAGCATCCCACCAACACAGCTGCCTGATGTAGGGACAGCCCTGCTCCCCCATGTAAACAACAGGTACAGACCCATGACATCGTGGTGACAATGGCCAACTGTCGGTAGTTGTCAGGAGTAAAAAGGCAGCACTGTCTCTAAGGGCTGCTCCTTTAGGTTCGAGGGATAAGATCATCTATGTGGAAATGAGCCTCTTCTAAGGTCACACTGCGTAGGCAGGGAATTGGACCCAGAATGCACTGGCTTCTCACACACCCAAGCAGAATCCCCTAGGATGGGTCTATTGCCTGCTTTCCTTTTTCCTTGCTGTGTGTATGTGACAGGCGATAAAAAATGACCAGAAAAAGTAGTGTTCATAAGTGAAGCAGTTAGCATCGTTCCTGCTGCATATGATGTTTTCTTCTTATTGTAAGAACACATAGAGAATGATGCTCAGGGAAAATGAGTCTTTGTTCTGCAATAGGAGAAACCTGAGTTAGACTCACAGTCCATAGTGACCCCTTGGAGTTCTCTTTCGGTTTGATTCCTTCCCGGATAATGAGATCTTTGAGCCTATCCTACCTGTCTCCACCTGACACCACCTAGAACACGACTGTAGGAGTAGAGGTCCCATTCGCTGCCCTTAGAGACAAATGCTGCCCTTTGCTAATTACAATTACTGATGAGTTATCATCACCACCGCTAAATATCTGTCTGGCTTTGCGGAGGAGCTGGCTCCGGCAGGAATCGGGATGAGAGGAGGCGGGTGGGCAGGAGAAATACTCCTCCGCACATAACATCGAGGGCACTGAGTATGAAGATGAAAGTCCAGAGACCCGTAGTCACCTCTTAGGGTCTTGCAGTGCGGCAGAGGTCCGCATTCCAGGCAGCCGGGCACCGACGACAGTTCAACGAAGAGCCAACGCCTGGTCTGTCCAGTCGGGACCGTGGTGGTGGCCTTGCCTAGAACGGCCTTTCCAGTTTGCAGCCGCAGCGAAGCACCAGACAAATCCCACCTCCGGCCCCGCCCGTCCCATCGGTCTTGCACCGAAGGCGATGCTTCTTGGGAGAAGCAAGCCGCTGGGAGGGGAAATCCGGGCTTTAAGGACTCCCGACAGGTGTCTGAGAGAGAGGGCGGAGTCAGGGTAGGAATGATGGAGAGGGAGGGGCGGCGCTGCCCCTTTAAGAGGCGGCGGCCGAGCGGGGACCTTTTCTCTTTCCCCGGAAGGAAAGCGGAGCCCGGGCTGGGCGCGCAAGGTGGGGAGGTGCAGGGCTGGGCAGTGGGGAGGCGGGGCACGCTCAGGAGAGAATCCCTCCCTCCTGCCCTCCTGGCGGTCGAGGGTTTGCCTTTTCAGATCCTCCACCTAGCTGAGATCCAAAGAGCTAACACCGCCAAGGGGGCGCGGCCAGGACCTTCTAGGGTGCGGGGTGCCCGGAGTCGGGCACGGTGACCTGTCCACCGGACCATGTCCACCGGACCAGCGGGAGAGTAGATCTACAGCCCTGAAAAGAGGAGTGGAGAAGCGCCACCCCAGAGCAGACGTGAAGCTGGTCCGGACCAGGGCAAGAAATTGTCTGGGACTCCGGTCGCAGCGGCGCTGCGGGCTCGGGTGTCCTCTGGCGGCGCCTGGAGCAGGTGAACCGTTCACCACCCCCAGTGCTGAGCCCTCTTGTGCTGTCGGCCCGCCCGGCTCGCACTCGCGGCCATGGGCCCCAGACCCCGCCGCGCGCCCCGCGACCCCGGCTGGATGCTCGGCACCCTGGCCTTGATGGTGGCGGCTAGCGGCCGGGTCGCCTTCGCCTTCAACCTGGACACCCGATTCCTGGTGGTGAAGGAGGCGGTGAACCCGGGTAGCCTTTTCGGCTACTCGGTCGCCCTCCATCGGCAAACCGAGCGACAGCAGCGCTACCTGTAAGTCAGCCTGGCGGCAGTGAGGTGGGGTGAGAGAGGGTATGTGTGTTGATGCCTGACCTAAGCTGAGTCGAACGGAGCCCTGGGCCCACTGACTTCCAGGCCTGCTGCTGCTGGCCTTTCCTTGTGAGCCAGGATTAAGGGGGCGGGTACACCCGCAGCCCTCCGATTGTGGGGCTTGGCGGGAAGTGGAGGATGGGGGGCAGTAATCATAGCAAGTGCTGACCTGGCCAGAACCTGTCTAGACGCGGCCGCTCCACGTTCAGACCTCTTTGGAGAACAGAAGTAGGGTCTCTGTTGCCCAGCACCCCGAGGATCCAGTAGCTAACATTAGCTTCTTCCCCAGGCTTGGAGAAGCCTGTAAAATAAACACATATCACACCCCTCTTCCTTTCCGCCTGGGGAGAACCCGAGATATATGCGTTTAAGCCCCCATTACATCTCTCATTTAGTCTGTGGCCACAGCAACCACGCCCTCTGCAGAGCCAGGCTGGACCTCTTCTCAAGGGCTTGGCATTGCAGAGTGAGGTGATGAAGAGGCTGGGTGTTTGGAGCTGTCCAGAGGCTCCCTCTGACCCCTAGAGGAACGGACAGTAGAAGACAGAGGAGGCGCTGTCTTAAGCCTCAGAAGCCAGAGCCCACCCGGAAGCAGTGGGGTACTCCCACCAGACATCTCCCTGCATTCCACAGATTCATGTTGAATCAGCAGCCCTGAGTGTGTTTGTTTTGGTTTGAAGAGGGAAATGGTGTTTTCTCTTTCTTCTGCTCTCCTTTGCAACAGCTGCAAGAAGCGGGAAGAGCTAAGCAGAGTGGAGGAGGGGAGGAGATTGCGTCCAGCCCCCTGCCCCTCCCCATGCACACACATGCCCAACAGGTCACATCCAGGTGTCTGAGGTTTCTCTGCATGGGTTCTGTGTGCTGAGGTTGACTAGCTGAGGGAAGGGGGTGGCCAGAGGAGGTGAGGCTGCCCAGGGAAAGACAGTGATGATCACACAGACCCCCTTCTACCTTTTTGAGCTGGATAGCCTACCAGGCATTGATTCCTACCTGGCCTCTGACAGTTACTAAATTAAAAGACACAGTCAAGGTAAGAGTGTTGAAACCACCCTCTGCTCTGACTTGGGCCTGTAGAAACTTGAGGAAGTTTGGAATGTTCAAAGTCCAGCTCACTTGAGTCTTTGCCTCTGCCCTGCTGGCCCAGCCCCTGTGCGTACTGCCCACCTGGACTTAGCCTCTACCCTACCTGGCCCCTGCAGAAGGTAGGGCTACCACACCCTTCCTGCCCTGGCCAGGCAGATTTAACCTTCCACCTTTCTGAGACTCTCTGACAATGGGTAGTTGCTACAGTAGTGGCTTTTCCTCCCCTGTCCTAGCCCAGAATATAGTTTTCCTACGTTCTGATGTCGAACGTGCATGGCCTGAGTTAGGACAGTGGAAGAGACCTAGAAAGAGTAAAATATAATTTTGCACGCACGCACGCGGGCACACACACACACACACACACACACACACACACACACACACGTACGTTCTGTGACCTTGAGGAAGATATTTCCTTCCCTGGGGTCAGCTTCCTGCAGGATGAGGTTGTACCTGGATCTGTATGCTTCTCCCTTTCCCTGCCAGCCTGTGAGAGGCACCTTGACATTGTAAAGGGAGAAGCTGAGTGTCCCTGTGCCTGTCATCTTGGCTCTGTCTCTGACACCTGAGCCTTTGCTTCCTCGGTGTTAGTGGTGCTTTGATGACATAGTGTATCTAGAACGGTCCTGGCGTGTCCAGTTCTCCAGTGGACACCAGAAGGCTCTGGGGCCGAGACCAGGCTGGAGGTGAACCTCTTCTGCCTGTGGGTCGTACCCAAGTTGGCCAAGTGAAAGACTTCTGCTTTCCTTTCCAGGCAGCTGGGGAGAATGCTGGAACGAGTGGACTCTGAGGGCAGATGGGTCTTCTCTCTCTTGCCCAGAGCTGCCTCTGTACCTTAGCTCTGTCCTCATCTAATGGGGTTCAGCTCTCCAGCCCTTTGGGAGAAACAGCTGGGATTCCCTACAGCCAGCTGTGTAGCCAGATGTGAGCAGCTGCCCAAGTATTCTAGGGAACTAATAAGTCAAACTGCAACCTCAGGTTCTGTCAGCATCGAAGTCCCCTTGGAAGGGCGGTGTGGCTCATGGTCCTTCCTTTGGGGTCTGCCAGGGGTTCAGGGGCTCCTGAGAGTATGTGCACAATCACAGGTTTGTACACTGTCCCTGGGGGATCAGGGAGGGGAGAGCATACATAGCTTCTGTGTAAAAAGCCAAGAGACACTCTCTTGGCTGCTATGACCTTTATCTCTATGCTGAGTACCCCACCCATAGCCCATGCTTGATAGTGAGAATCCAGGGCAGACCACTCACTTTGGGCTTATTTATTTATTTGAGACATCGTCTCTCTTATATGACTCTGGCTGTCCTAGAACTCGCCTTATAAAACCAGGCTAGCCTTGAACTCACAGAGATCCACCCTCCTCTGGCTCCCAATCTGTGATTAAAGGCTTCTGCCCCCTCGCCGGGCTCACTTTGAGCTTTTCGATGTGACATGAGCTCTCTTCAGAGGGAGAAGAGCTGCTCATTTGGGAGGTGGTTGCTGACCCCCTGAACCTGCCTTGTTGCCCCTTCTTATTCTGGCCCGCCCTCACCGGTTGATTCCTCTGGGCCCCCTCTCCCTTTCACTGTTGGAAAGGAGGGTGTCTGGGAAACCTGGGAGGGAGTGGCTTCTGGAAATGAGGTCATTCCCGAGGTAGGCAGGGCCCTGGCTTACCTGCTCTGCTCTCTTGAAACAAGCTCCCTGGACAGGGCGGGTTCCCGGCAGTCTTCATGGCTGGAGCCAGTAGAAATGGTACAGCAGCTGTGGCTGTGGAAACAAGGCCTACATCTGGTTTATCCTCCTCTGCTGCCTTCCTCGGTGGTCATTCTAGGCCCAGAGGCTTTAAAAAGGGCAGGAGGTGGAGGAGGGCTGATCTTGCAGAAAAGGAAGCCGCAAGGAGGGATTGGTGTCCCGTGGGGTGGCATACACCTGTCATGCGAGGACTCAGAGAGGAAGGCAGGAGGATTGGCAGTTTGCTGGATGTCCAGGCCACACAGTAAGACCCTGTCTCAGAACAGGAAAGGAAGAAATCCATCGCAGTGAGGTGGACTGAGGTTTGATGAATGCCATAGAGGGTCAAACATGGAATACCTGCTGGAAAGCCGGGAAAGAGGAGAAACGAGGAAATCAGTCTCACCCTCTTTCACTCAGGGCCCTGCCAAGATCTCATTCTTCCATCTTTCTCATTCTCTCTTGTTGCTCTGGTTCTAGGGCTGAGTCACCAGGCGGGAGGGGGTTGGGTAGGCAGCATGAGGAGGGGTAGAGGAGGATGGTGAGGGCTGCAGTTTCAGCGCCACAGGAGAGCCTCTGGGGAGGTGGCTAAATCAGGCAGCAGGGCATAGAGCTGGCATCCAGGAACTGACCTCCCCCCTACTCAGGCTGGAGCAGCTGCTGCCTCCCCTCCTGCCTCTACCCCTTCCATAGGAGGGGCACAGTGACCAAGACCCCAAGAAAGGCTCTGGGGATTTCCCCAAAATCTTCCCATAGGAGCCACCACACACCTCCCTGAAATGAAGTTGAATCGTATAGATTTTCTTGGAGCATCTTTCCACTCCCGGAGTCCCGAGGGGCTCTTCCTCTTTGGGGTGAGCCAGCCTGGTGCCCTGTCTCTCTTGGGTCCCATTCCCCAGCCTTCTCAGATCCTGCCATTTTCTGTGCAGTTATTCTATTAGCTCTGAACTGCTTGGGAGGAATGGAGGTGTAGAGGGCTGGTCAGGGTGAAGAAGAGTCCCACTCCCTGCACTTAGAACTCAGGGGCTCCCCTGAGGCCAGGTGGGGCTTTCTAGTTGGAGCCAAATGAAAGGATGAGGAGGCAGCTGTTGAGAGAGAGCCCTTGATCTTCCATGTCACCCACATCTGCTTCCGGGAGCGCTCTCCGCTCCTCCTTGCCCAACTTGACTCCAGGAGAGGGATGTCCTAT